CCTTTCATGGTGGCAGCAAAGAGCAAGAGAGCAAGGGAGGGGTAGCAGCAGCTCAAGCAGCTAGCTTTTCTTCCTACCCTACATTGTAATGCAAATTACCTGCCCCAGGGTAGGGGAAGTACTCACACCTATGGGTACTTCCCAGTACTTACCCACCTATGGGTAATCCCAGCAGTACTAAGACCCATAATCCCAGCCTTGGATCACACATAATCCCAGTGGATCATGAGTTAACACAAACTCATGACTGCATGAGGCTTTGGGGGGACAACTAGACACAAACCATAACAAGGGTCTATAGAGTCTCACTGCACAGATCAGACTTGTAGTGATACTCCTGTTTCAGCTTCCCAAGCACTGGGATTACAGGTGTGCACCACCACACACAGTCTCATTTACTATCTCAGTATTCCCTGGTGGTAGGGCCGGCACAGCATGGAGATCAAACTACAGTCCCCTAATGCTTACCTAAGCAGGTGCTTTAGTCTGCTTAGCTATCTGGCCAGTCCATCATGTATGAGGTTTTGTTTCTATTTTTTGCTTTTTTTTTATTTTTAGGGAAGGGTCTACAGGGTGTTCAGGGTCTCACTACTAGATCAGACTCATAGTGATCCACCTGTTTAGTGATCCACCAGCCTCCCAAGAGCTGGAATTAGAGGCATGCACCACCACACCCAGTCTCAATTGCCATCTCAGTGCACCCCGGGGGTGGGACTGGCACTGCAGGCCTGGGGATCAAAACCCCGGCCCCTGAGCTTGCTTGCAGGGGCTTTAATCCACTGAGCTATTTGGCCGGCCCTATGAATGAGTTTTGGACTCACCAAAAACTTTTCCTGCATGAATTGACATGGTCATGTGATTTTTGTCTTCAGTTTTTTAAATTAATTAATTAATTAAATGTGCTTGGTACAGGTTCTCATTATGCATCTTGAACTCATAGTGATCCTCCTGTTTTCAGCCTCCTGAGCACTGAGATTATAATCGTGCACCACCACTCATGGTCTCCATTGCTGGCTCAATGTTCCCCGGGGGCAGGGCCAGTGCAGCATATGGTGCCGGGAATTGAAGCCTGGTGATTTTTGTCTTTGGCTGTGTTGATTCAGTGTACTATATTTATTCATTTGCATATCTTGAATCATTCCTAGGATGAATCCTACTTGGTCATGATACATAATTTTCTTGATGATTTGCTGCATTCTGTTTGATCATATTTTTTTGTGGATTTTTGCATCTATGTTTATTAGGGAGATTGGCCTATAGTTTTCTTTTTTGGTTGGGTCTTTCTCTAGTTTTGGTATCAAGGTAATACTTGCCCCCAGGAATGAGTTAGAGAGTATTGCTTCCTTTTCAATTTCATTAAAGTGTGTGAGAAGTATTGTCACTAAATCTTCTCTAAAATTCTTATAGAATTCAGCAGTGAATCCGTCAGGACACAGGCTTTTCTTTGCTGGTAGATTTTTAATTACATCTTAAATTTCATTAACTAATAGTTATTTAGAATTTTTATTTCTTCTTGATTCAGCTTTGGTAATTGATATGTTTCTTTGAATCTGTCCATTTCTTCTGTGTTTTCTATCTTATGCAAGTAAAAAATTTTTTTTTGTGGGAGGGGCGGAACCAAGGATTGAACTCAGGCCCTTGCGCTTGCTAGGGAAGCACTTACTCCACTGAGCCATCTTTCTAGTCCTGCAAGTAAAAAATTTTAAAGTAGATATTGATGATCTTCTGAATTTCCAGGCCCATTTATTTTTTAAAAGATGTCATAGTATCATTTATCATCCTCACATTGCTGTAAAATCACAGCTTCTTAATCTGAGACCATAAACAAAATGATAATGCTTCTACAAGGTAGTCTTTGCTAGGAAGAAGACCACTGAAAAATAGGGAAAAAATTGATGCAATAAAATTATTTCATTCAGTTGAGTTCAAGAACAAACTGAAATTTGAGGTTGGATGAATGAATATTTAAAACTCCCTCATTTTTCATATTTGTATTTGATCTCGCACATTCACAAGACCTATCATTTCCTTAAAAGTGCATGAAAGTACATGGAAGACTAATAATTGAACTCAGACTTTTTAAAAAAGTATAGTTTATTTGAAATAGGTGAGGTGTTTATAAGTTTTAAAAATCAAAAGGTACAAAGGTTGTACAGTAAAATTCTCTTCTACTTTGCCATCTCAGAGGCAGTTTCATTACTTTGTCATGCATCCTTCTAGCTATGTAGTTTTTTCATTTGTAAACTAAGATGCATATTATTTTATTTTCCTAAAATGTAAAATTTGTATCTATAGAGTTACATACTATATATAATGTACAAATTAATTGTGCTGTATAAGTATTCATACTAGCAATACAGTGTAAAAATTATTCATAATAATTCTATGTGTAATTCATATAATGTAGAAGTACAATGTACTATATTCTTTGCTCTATATCTTTTTTACTTAAGAATAAATGCATCTTGAATATATGATCCACATTAGTACAGATATTTTGTAGTTACTTGCTATGTTCTAATGTTTGGATGTCCCACCACATTTATTTAACCACTTCCCTACTAATGGACAGTTTGTTTCCAGTGTTTTGTTATTAATTTTATATATGTCATTTTATATGTGTGAAATATAGCTATAGGGTCCATGTTAGAAATGGCATTGGACATTTGTAATTTTGATGGCTATCACTAAGTTATCCTCCCCAGAGATGGTATCCATTTATAGTCGTAATAGTAATGTAAGGGAGCACAGGTTTTTATTTTCAGTTTGTATCAGTACATAGTTATAGTGTATCATGATCACATTCCTTGTGGGGAATTAGTGCAAGCACAGAACACCTTTCACTTCTTTTTTTCATCCTGTTCCTCCACCCTGCCCTCTACCTCTCAGTCTGCTTCCCTTTCACAAAAGATCTACCTCTTCATTTCAAATTATCTTTTATTTTGTTCTTTATATTTTGTTTCTCATTTAAGAAGATATTTACGATTTTGTGTCTGTTTATTGCACCTAATTTTTTGTTTGTTTGTTTTTGGCCGGCTCAGGCCACCCTGAGGGTGGGGCTGGCTTGGTGCCAGGGATCGGGGGATTGAACCTGTGGAATAAATCTGTGGTCCCCTGCAGCTCACCTAAGCTTACCTAAGCAGGCACTTTAGACCGCTGAGCAATCTTGCTGGCCCCACCTAATGTTATAGTCTTAAGGTTTATTTATTTTGCTACAACTCATTGGCAGCCCATAGCATTAAATAAGATAATGTATGTAACCTCCATGCCTGGAAGGGGGTATACACCCAACAAATGGTGATCATCATGATTAATTAATGATGAAACCTTAGCACTGATAGTTGATTAAACTTTGACTTCTTTCAAAATGTAAGTGATTCTGGAAATATTCTAGTGTATATTCTAATAGGGGAAAACTGGCTTATTACATCAATTTCTTGGAAACTTTAGGAGTCGCATGTAGGAAAAAATTCTAAACCCAGGATGCATCCGTTTTCAAACATTTGGCCAGGGATATCAATAATGCTAAAATTAATTCTGAGTTTTCAGCCTTGAAGTAGTGATATGGTATGTTTTCTAAAATATGTAGGTAAAAGTACACTTTAGGTAAAAATACTGCTGCAGTGGTCAGTTACATGGCTGTAGAAGGGATAGGAATATACGATTACTAAAGGTCCCAGCTCATTTCCAAGTTATCTTTGCTACAGGCAAACCCCTCTTGGATGGTTAATCTTTGTTGTCAACTTGACTGGTTTGAGAGGTGCCCAGAAGACTTGTTGAGTGCACTTCCGGTGTGTCTGGGAAGGTCGTGGAGATGTGACCCTGGGATACATCTGGTCACTGGTCCCTTGCCCTTTGCCATCTTGAGGAGAGCAGCTTTTTTTTGCCAGGCCCTTCTGGCATGATATTTCTGTCTGGAAGCCAGTTAACCCTTAAAACTGTGACTACAACAAATCCTTCCTCTTTCAAGTTGGTTTGTAAGGTATTTTTGCCACAGCCATAAAGTCAACCAACATACCCTCCAATGTCTCAAAATTCCAGCTGGAACAATGACCACCAAAGCCAGTCAGGAAAACTGGTCCCATGTTCTTCCTTGATAGGAAAGGCGAGATAGCTTCATGCACAGCACCTAATTTATTGCTTTGATTCCCCAGGGTTGGGCATAAATAGAGTACGATTATCATTACAGAGAAACTGATATTCTTCCTTTAAAACCAGTCTGGCATATATTATTAGAAATCGCCATCATCCTTTCAGAGTATCTGACTTTGAGAAATGATCAAAACTTTCTTTAGCAAAGATGAGATGCTAGGAAACATAAAAACAGACTTTGTTGGAAATGGAGAAGGTGATCAGGAGGAAAGGAGAGGAGAGGAAGGAAGGCAGAAAGAAAGCCAGAAAGATCAAAATGATCAAGATATGCTACATCCATATGCCAATCCCCCAGATGAACATAACTATGATGTATTATTTGAAACATACTAGTACAAAATAAAAAAAAAAAAGAATGTCGACAATCAAGAAAACCTTCTCTTTAAATTGAATTTGGGGCCAGGAATATAGCTCAGCACTGCAGTGTCTGCCTGGCAAGCACAAGGTCCTGAGTTTGATTCCTGGTACCAAAAATTAAATAAATAAATAAATAAATAGAATTTGATGATTATGTAGTCAAGCTAGACATAGTAAAAGACCTGTACTTCCTTGAATGATAAGTGTTGTCATGCTTTTTTTTTAAACCCCAGATTTTCTATGGTCCCACCCAGCTCTTAGGCCTCAATCCTCAGTTTGACTCAGTTCTAGGTTCTCACTTCCTTCACAGAAACTGAAAGCTGAAATCCATCTGTCCTGATGCTGACTCGCACGCCACACTCCCAGGCTCGGGAGGGGGCTCTCATAGGGGAAAGTCCCTTTGTATTCCTCCTCCTCTCACACCTCTGCTCCTGCAGATCTTCAATACAGATGACAAAATTTTTGTTCTTTTCTTGGTACTATCCTAAAAGAAGCTATTATGTGTAAGAGAATGAAATTTGTCCATAATTTTTTTTAAATAAGTACGTTCTTTTTATTCTCAACATGTAGGATCGAAAAGTGTGCTGTGTAAACACAGAAGCTCTGAGAAAGAAATAACTAGGGAGGAGGCAGCAGACATTTCCAGGAACTCTCCCCTGGGAAGTTCAACTGGGCATGCTTTTATAAAACACAGAGAAAATAAGAAAATGGATATGCAAGTATATTGAGGAACAAAATAAATAATAATATTTTATAAAACTAATACAAACAGTGACATATACAGAATTACATATCATTTCTGCTTTCACCATTTACAATGAAACACATGACAAAGGGAGTAAAGTGCCTTTCAAATCCAGTGCAACGCAAAGTCCTGTGACTTAGGAGTCCAGCAAACGCATGTTCTCACTCACCGAGAGTGACAAATTATTGTATAAATAAATCCATACTTGCACACAACGGGAGGAGCTCTGCTGGAAATTCTTTCTTCAGTCCCAACATGTAGCAAGACAAAGAAGATGCCAACAAAATTTGGGGCTATAGAGGCCATCTGAACCTAAAAGTCTCTGGAAAACACTATCTTGAGAGGCCACGGGAGTGATGAGATCAGGACATGTTCAAGGGTCCGAGCAGGGACAATAAACCTTTTCAGGAACAGATGAGGATCCAGTGTGGCCCAAAGTCAAAGTGTACTGTTAGAGCCTCCAGAAAGAATATGGAATGACACAAGTACAGCAGCAAAGTGAAGTTTGTACTCAAGAGAAAACATAGAAAAAAGTTCCAGACACACTTCTCCACACAGCGGTAGTAATAAGGATGCTACTGGTATCGTACTGACTCATGCTACCCTGCGCAACTCAGGCTCTCCTTTTGAGAAAACACAAAATAACTTGAGTCCAAAGTCAGTCATAGAACAAGCGCTTAACAGTGACATCTGTGCAGAGCTACATGTAGTAGGTACACACACATAGTAAATCATATGGAAGACACGAGGAGGCAATGGGAAACATAATCTAGAATGGACATGACACAGTTTCTGTCTTCTGGGAACCTCAAATTTGTTCCAGTTGCCACACAGAAAATAATATATTAAATAAAAATCGCAAAATGCATAGTAGATATATAATTTCTTACCACTGAGAAAAATTTTTAAATATACTTTTAACAGGCACTCTCACACAGAGACTATCTTTAGAGGAATGCATGGACAAACGGCAACATCTGTTGTTCATAGAGAAGAAAACTGGATAACTACGAGGGTAGAATGTAATGTTGTATTTTTTTTTCTATTGAACAACTTGAATTTTGAATCATGGGGAATGTGATTCTCAATAAAAAAAAAAGGACTCCTAAGACATAACAGACACTGTATAGAAAAACATCAGATTATATGCCAAAGGTAGATAAATCAGTGTAAACATAATGCTAGCAAAAGAATTCAAGAGTTATTCTCCACAGTTCTTTTAAATACTTATTTCTCATAAAAGTTGCTTTGATTATGAATGCATTTATGTATACTCCTCAGATACTTTGTCTTGCTAACATTCATAGACTCAGTGCCTGGCACAGTGCAAGACACCTGTCATGTGCAAAGACGCTTAAATGCTTTTTGAATTAATGAGGTTCTGAAAGTAGAGCTATCAATTGCACTGTAAAAGGATGGCAGGTAGATTGTAGAAATCTGAGGGCTGCTATTTCCTGCTGTGGGCAAGTCACATAACCTCTCTGCCTCTTCCACTATTAAATGAATATAGTATAGGGGTGACCAGGACAGGGCTGTGACGGAGATGAAATGAGATTGTATGAGTAAAATCCCACGCAATCATAAAGCTGATGTTTATGTGAGCCTGACACTGCAACAGGCCTTTGAAGTCTGAAGATAAGATTATTCAAGTCAGCCCAACTAGTGAGTTGGTTAAATAAGGTAAAAGTCATACAATTCAGTGCTTCCTATCTGTAAGAATACTTACAGAGGATACAAACAGTATGTGTTGTTAAACATGAGCAAGCAGGTAAGTGGCAGAATTCTAACACCTACTTTATCTTCAAAAGAAATAACTCACAACCGTACTTTCATAACAAGAAGACGCTACAGACTCAAAATAAATAGAAACAACTCGTACTGAACCACTCTTGCAATCCTGAGGCTGTCAGCGAGGCAGAAGACACTGGCACTGAATGGAAGCAGTGGATGCTGCCATGAGAGCTGACCATTCATCAGGGATTCTCAACCCGCTCCTCATTCGGAAGTGTCTTCTGTCTCTTTTGTCGCTCACAGTTCCTTAGCTACTGAGGTACCAAGATTTCCCGCCAGGCTCCCCTCTGTACTTCACCTGTCTTCACCTTTCTCCTCCTCTTCTCTTTCCAGGTTCAGTTTTCAGTGTTTGGGACTTTAAATTCCAACACTCCCCACGTCCTGTGGGCCCTTTCTTTCCTGAACTCCCAAACCACAGGTGGAGAATCCCTGCTTGACACTTACAAGTTTCAGTGCTGGTTACGTCTCCTCAAACAGTGTATCTGGAGAGTGACAAGAGTATATTAATATATTGGGCATGGGGGAGGGCCTGGAAATAAAAGTGACAAGCAATCTAAGAGAAGAAAAGCTTATATTTGCTAGACCATGCAGTAAGTTTGCAATCAGAGAGAGAGAGAGAGACAGGTTACATTTATAGCCAGTTGCCCTTACATTATAAAAATGACTAACCATGCTGGTTTACCTAGGAATGTACTGCTTTTAAAACTAAATGATGACCTGAGCATAGTGGTGCACACCCGTAATCCCACTACTCAGGAGGCTGAGGCAGGAGGATTGCTGCAAGCTTTAGGCCAGCCTGTGCTACATAGTAAGTCTAGAGCCAGCCTGCGCTGACAGAAGCTCCCTTAGCCAAGAGAGCTGCCCCTCCCCCTCCCTTTCCCAACCTCTCTCCACAAAGCTATTCGCCATCATTTACTCTGGAAAGCCATCCCTAAATCCTCCTCAGTTTATGGTAGGCAGTCTTAGAGTGGTAAGGCAAAGGCAAGTAGTCAGCAGTTCTCACAGCTGGCCTCTAAAGCCAGGGAAGACTACAACAGACAGATTTCTCTGTTCTTGTTTTAGCTTTTTGTTTCTTTCCTTCATCTTCCCAGGTCCTTCTGATAGTCTTACCATTTTGGTTCCTTGAGTTCATATCGCAGGTGCTGCAATTTTCCACATCTATCATGCTCACTAAAGAGAAAGAAATCATTTTTTAAATTTTCTTACTGTACAACTCTACATCCCACACAATGACTGGAGCTTAAATTCTAAATTCTCTCGAAACATTTTAATCTCATGAACTTCTTTATTCCAGGGTGCCAAGGCTCAACATTAATAATTCAACAGTTTAGGACACATATTTTTGCTCTTATATTTTCTTTTTATTGTTCCATCCTTCTCTCAGAGATAGACAGTGCCATACTGTAAGGTACTTTATTACCTGTTGATTTTCTCCCTCCCATTCCTCTTTGTAGTACTGGAGACTGAATCCGGAACCTTATACATTCTAGGCAAGGGCTCTACTACTGAGCTACATTCCGCAGCTTTTAAAAGAAATTTAGAGACAGGTTCTTGCTGACCTTGAACATTCTATCAGTCTCCTCAGTCACTGGTCTTACAGGTATGTGCTGCCTTTTCTGGCTATCTGTTGGTTTTCTAGCCATTCCTAGCCAACTGATCTTTTTATTCCCCAGGAAAATATTCATAATGCAAGTTGGTAAAAGTCATTTCCTTATGAAATTCCCTCAATCCTGGAAACCTGACTTTCAAATCCTGGCTATCTCCCAGTTCATCTAAGGACTATTCTTTGGAAACCACTGGTTCCTACCAGTTTGGGGCACTTTTCCAGATCCATCCACAGATTCACCCTCGCAGGGGATTGTGGAGAATTCTTCAACAACATTGGGAATTCCCTTGATAGTCTAGTTCCTTATTTGACATCAGACATCTCTTTATGAAGGCCATCACTGGATCTTTCAATGCACATGCCAATTCATTGGGGAAAATGTTTTCTGTGAATCATTGCAGGAAATCATTTGAATATACTTATTTGCTTGGATTTTAATTGCTCTCAGGGGTAAGTAGAGAAATAAGCACATATAAAGTATTTCTAAAATTGCTTAACATCCACCTCTGGGAATCTTGCAAAATACTCTATGGTAAAAATCGCACAGTTCTAGAGATGGAACTATTTTGATAGAGTAATCAGAGGTCAGCTCAAAATAAAGTTGCAACTAATGCAAGACTCAAATTCAAGTGAAACCAGCAAGCATTACAGTACTTTCACTTCTCTAAGTCTGTGGTTATTTGCATGGTGGACAGAAGCTGTAAGACACCGAGTCTTCTTTAACCTCCTTACATACCGATTCTCCCTATCCTCATCGTTGTACCTCTGACCCCACTTCAAAATCCCAGCAATCCCACTCAGCTTCCGTATGATTGTTCACAAATACTGGGATTATTCTGTACCAGTCTACAAAATGAAGTCAGCTTCTTTGCAGTCATTGTCCAACTATCGTTCCTTATAAATTCTACTATAAGGGTTCAATGCCACCTTCCAATGAGGATGACACTATAGAACAACACAATAAGCAGGACTGAAGGAAGAAATGGCACACAGTTCCACCCAGCAGCACAGCTAAAATCCACTTGGCATAACTGGAAGTGGGCCCTGAAAAGGAAAACTGACAGGAAGCAGCATAAGCCAGTGTTTCCCAACTGAATTCTGGGTAAGACACTTCCTTCCATGTGGGACTGTCTTACAAATGGCAAGATACTCAGAATTTCTGGTTCTGCCTCCTAAATGCTATCACTAAATGCTAACATCTCCACACATCCATACATCCCCAATGAAAACCATCATAATGAAGGAAATACCATCTTTTCGTAGGCAGCATAGGACCAGTGTCACAACAGAGAACAATGGGATGATTCCCATTATCACAAAACGATGCCTGTTATGTGTTGGAAGTATAGTAGGTGATTCTGAAAAACAAAACAAAATTGATTAAGGATAAAATTTCCATGAGAAGTACCTCTCCTTAACATCTAATTTAGTTTAACTTTAGGTTAACTTTCTTACATAGTAAAAGTCCCTGGCCAGTGAGCAGCTGAAATGATGAGAGCTCTGATAACAAGATGAGAGCAGCACGGAACAGCGCGAGCAGCCCAGGCTTTGCACAGAGACCTGAGCGAAACCAGCTTACCCAACAGAAAGTCTCAGACACTTATCTGGCTAACGTTAGTAAAGTGCTTAGCAGACTACCACAGGAATGTCTGCTCAGTATTAAGTGGTGGCCTTAATTGGGTCATTTCCTCTTCCTTTTCTTTTTTGTTTGGTTTTTGGTTTTTTTGAAAGTGAGTATGTAATTCAGGTACAACTATGTAGCACAAGTTGGCCTTGAACATATGATGTTTCTCCTGCCTCCACCTCCCAAGTGCTGGGAATTACAGGCATGGGCCACCATGCCTACCTTGACTCTTACTTCCATGTAGAAGTTAGCGCTCTACTGTATGTGACATGGATGGACCACTGTAGAACTTGGACAATACTGTAAGAGCTCTTGCCTCCCCAGATGTGTGGCCACAAGCAGAGACAACTGAAATTTGAACATCTCTGGGAAACTTACAGTTGGTTTTCCTTACCAATCCCTATCTACACTTCCTGAAGGAGCATGGGGCCCTGGGCTTGGGGAATGCAGACTACTACCTCGTGTCAGTTCCTGCTTGGCCCAAGCTGTCAGCTGAGATCTGTGATCCCTAACTACCTAGCTCAAGCTTTAAAGCCACAGTGCCATGATGCCTGTCAGCCTTTGTCTAGAAGCTTGTATACAATGCCTGTTCACATCTATTGTATCTAAGTCTTACAATAACTTTACAGGGTAGCCACACCAGGTACTGAAACCAAAGCCCAGGTTATATCTGAGAAAACAGACTCGAGGCAGTTAAATGAGTTACTTCAGGCTGCCCCACTAGGAGCCATCCTAGCTCAGCTTTAAATATCAGAATTCACTACCAGCTCCAGCTCTGAGGGAAGGCCCATTCTATTTTATTTTCTAAACTCTTTTGCTCTTTCTGTCCACAAGAATGTTTCAGCTTGTCTTTCTTCATTGGTTGACTTTTCTGTTCAAGTTTTCTATTTTCTCTGAAGTACTTGGAGTTTTTCTGTCAACATCTATTAGGGGAAGCAGTAAGAAGTGCTTTAAGAACAGCTCTGGCTTTATGTTAAACCACCTCCCTCATTCAAACAGTCTGAGCCTCTTGTCAGTCCTTGTCTCCCATCCTACCTCTTTCTGCAAGATAGTGAAACTGAAAATAGTTGAATTTGTGCTGACCAGGGTCTGAGATAGTTTTCATACATTTTAGCTCATTTTATGCCTACAATAATCTGGCCTGAGAAGTTACACCCCCTAGGGAAAGTGAAGCTCACAGAGGTCTCATAATTTGCCTAGTGGTGACAGTGAACCTTTTAGAGCCTTCAGTAATACAAACAGCCTGCTGCGGCACACATAGCATGGGTCCCCACCACCGGCCTCAGGACCCCAAACCTCACATTCTGTGTAGTAAGCCACTGCTGTGAGTTGAATATGCCTTGCGAGAAGTACACGGGGAGAAACCATTACTCTTATGCAATTCACAGATAGAAAAGTATGTTTCATTTGCTTCCTGCCATTGAAACCCTGGAGAAGGCAGCTGCTCTGATTTACTTGGTCTGAGTTGACTACGGGTACTCTTACACACACACACACACACACACACACACACACACACACGACCAGCTGAGCATTTCTTGCAGAAAACCAGATTTCCTGTTTCATTATTTCTTACTTGCTTCATGGAGATTGTGAGCTGTGTCCTATCTTTTTACGAATACCTAATATCTAAGTCTAAAGCTTGAATATTGCCTGGCATGTAGTGAATATTCAGAAAATATTTGCTGACTGTTAAGTAGCAATGTGACCTGGATGAGTGGAGGCAAGGAAACAGCATGCATTTTTAAATATAGTGTTACTTGTTTACACATTGATTCAACCATCACTGAGTAGCTAGCTGTGATGAGCAGACATTGTGCTACGTAGTAGGTGGCAGTGCTAGGCATATTTTAATTGACATATTGAAAATATTACCTGGGATGATCAACTCAGCTGTATAGTTTTCCCCAGAACCTAATCTCTGAAAAGTACAGTAGAAAATTTCATTAGCTGTTGCGTTGATTTGCAGTGTGCTGGTCACATTGAAAAATTTCTCCTCCCTCTGGGATTTGGTGACGATGGTGTCACCACTTAGGATTTGGCCATCACTTCTTGTCCAGATGACTTCAGCTTCAGGGTGACCCTCAGCCTGACATGTTAGTTCATATTCAGAAGTGACTGGATCCATGGAAATTCTCTGGTTGATTTTGCTGTATGGGGCTAGGAGAGGAGCAAAAAAGAAGCCAGGGATTCCTCTTAGCATAGAACTAGACTTGTGGTTTTTTTTTTTTTTTTTTTTTTTTTTTTGCGGAACTGGGGATTGAACTCAGACCCTTGCGCTTGCCAGGGAAGCGCTTATTCTACTGAGCCATCTCCCCGGCCCCAGAACTAGACTTGTAGCTTGGTGCTATCTATATTAGAATGAATATTAATGCAGGCTGGTTTGCAGAGAAACAAGCTTATGGTTCAGTGTCCTCAACACTGGGAACTCCAGTCAGTCTTCCTCAACTTTTTTGTTCAAACTTGGGCTAACCTTGTACCTAAAGGAACTACCTCACTGTAAAAATCATGTTGGTCTAGCACTCTGGGATACTGAGGCAGGAGGATCACAAAATCAAACCTACCCTAGACAATGTAGTAAATTAAGTAATACCCTATCTGAAAATTAAAGATTAAAAAAAGGGTTGGGGATGTGGATTAGTGGGAAGTTCGATCCTCATTATTGAAAAACACAACATGTTGGTATGTTTATTAGGTTCAAACTAAATGTCTAGGTTAATTTAAAATAAATTTTCACTTTTAGTATTCTTTCTATGCAAATATAAAATGTCTGTTTATTCAAATCTTTGTACATTTCTCAGTAAAGTACAATAGTTTTCAACTAGGACCCCATTTCTTCATGAACATATTTACAAATATTTTCCTTTCGTTGTTGTAAAGCTGTCTTTATAAACATGAACATTTCTAGCTAGGAAGCACTGTTTTCTTACACTTTACTCAACCAACTGATTTGGACATGTCATTTGCTTTTTCAACTTTAAGTCAATGATCAGAAATTAGATATGAAAATATATACTATGTCATTTTAAAAAATGAATATGTTTCTAGTGATACTTGTAAAAGGTTATGTGTACTTTCAAATTTTAGAATAGTTTCAGATGGACAAAAATGTTGCAAAAATAGTACCATTATTATATATTCCACTTCCATTTCCCTCACTATTCTCATGTCTTATATTACCACAGTACACTTATCAAACAAAGGCACCAACATTAGTTCTTTACTACTAAGTAAATTTCACAATTTATTCATTCAGTCAGTTCTTACCTAATGTGCTCTTTCCATTCTACAAAATTTGGTAAAATTTTAGATAATTGGTTTAGGACCTTTTTTATGATTAATATATCCCATTTTCTGACTGTTCCAGTAGATTATTTAATGCACATAGACAGCATTAGATCTTGTTCATGTTTACTCATTACAAATATTGACTTATTCTTCTGACATAATCATTATTTTACCACTAAAACTTTAGTGAACAGCTAATGGTCAGGGACTTAATTCTCCATTCCTTTATCAAGACATAGCAAAAACTGTGTGACAATATTTGCATAGAGATTTAACACAGCATAAGACAAAACTGAAAAAATAATGATGCAATCTTTTGGTGGTCTTAGAGCAAGAAAACTACCATCAATGAAATTAATACAATTATGTTTACAAAACACACAAATAGTACCTTTTCTTTTTTTTTTTTTTTTTTTTGGTGGACCCAGGGATTGAACTCAGGCTCTTGTGCTTGCCAAGGAAGCACTTATTCCACTGAGCCATCCCCTTGGCCCTACAAATAGTACTTTTTCGGCATTTAAATTCTCAATCTTATACCTGACTCATTTAAGAACGATTAAAAAATAGAAAGTGTGATTATATTTATGACATAAATACTTCCCAAAATAATACTAGAATAATAGGGTCCATTTCATGTAGTACACAGCTTGATTTCTGGGCAATTAAAATTTAAGACCTAAAAATGACTGTTAATGGTAGAATGGGGGCTGGGGAGATGGCCCAGTAGAATAAGCATTTGCCTGGCAGGTGCAAGGGCCTGAGTTCAATCTCCAGTTATGCAAAAAAAAAGTAAAATGTTACAGAAAAATATTGCTCTTCTTATCTCCCTATTACCATTTTTAATGAGATATTATTAAAGGAAGAGCTTGCTAGGAGTAAGGAGGGCATTGCTTCACATAGAGAAGCACATATAAACATGGTACAGCTCTAAGGCCAACGAAGAATGGTACGTTCCAGAAGAACTGATTAAATACCCACTACAGTAAGTTCTAGAGGGGAGCACATTCATGAGGACACAGCAAGAAAATATCAGAATTTCCACTTGCATGTATTTTTAATCATATCAATGAAATAATCTAAGCCTCTAAGTTTCGCTAACTGGTGTTGGGGTCTACTTTGATACATAAGCATCTTACAGAAAGAGGCGAAGTGTATAAAATCAAAGAGAGGATGGCTCTTATTTTCTTTTAAGTAAACAGACTTAAGAAAATGACTTAATTGAAGAGCATGATACCAAGAAACAGAACTGAAGATAATATTAATATAAATTAAATGGTAATGTCAGAAGTGAATTTTTATTCTAAGCTATTTTATGAGGTTAAAATCAATAAGCACTTAATTGGACCTGGCAAAGTATTCACTAAAGATGGCTTTATGATTATTAAAGCCATCTACCTTTGTTAATGATGATTTTCAGGATATATTATACCGTAACACATTATCTAATGATAGGGGAGCACCACAATTAGGAAGGCATTAAGATATTGTTTGTTAAATTTTATTTCGTCCTTTAAAATATTTTTATATTTTTAGAATCCATAAGTTTAGGTTGAACCATACAAAAATGATGATAGTTATCCTCTTTTGCCCCTCAAAAATGACTACTTTTTATGATACTATGTGCATACAGTGCAAACTATATTCTTTATAATTTACACAAACACACTAGCTTTTCAGATGGGTTGGGTAATCAAAACTCTTCACAGACCACTGGTCTATAGGTCTACAGCACTATACTACAGTTGGTTAATCAAGATCAACAAAAGCTCAAGATCATTTTTAAGCCATTGTACAACTTGATACAAACTCTAGAAGTACAAAGGTAGGCAGAAAAATATGCTAATGAGGGGCACAGACTTCAGAGCCAGATTGTGCTTAGAATTTGGCTTCATCACTTATAAACTAGATAGACTTGAGCAAATTGATTAATTTCTTCGGACCTCAGTTTCCTAATCCCTAAAAAGGGAAGAATAATGCTGATGGATTGCTAATAGATCAATTTATAGATATAATCTGATTTCAGCCTACATGTACTTGGTAGGCTGAGGCAGGAGAATCACCAAGAGTTCAAGGCCAGCCTAGGCTACATAGTGACTTCAAGGCCAGCCTGGCTTACATAGTGAATTTAAGGTCAGCTTGAACTACATAGCAAGCCCTTGGCTCAAAACTCCACCACTCCAAAACTAAAGAAAAGAAAAGAAAGATACATTCCGATTTTACATAAAGTAAAATAAGAAAAACGTTAATCTTAGACATAATGCATCACCTAACCCACAAAATTACACTGGGAACTAAATAAATTATAATAGTAAAAAGCTTAGTACTGGGCTTAATACACAGTAAGTGCTTCATAAGTTTTAATTACCATTGCTACTACCAACACCACCACCACTAATACCTGAGCTGTTCCCATTACCTCTACTGCTGAAGTATACTTTCTTGATATTCTTAATAAAGTACTACAGGAGCCAGTGAGAGAGCTCAGTGGACGAAAGTGCTTGCTTAGGCAAGCACAAGGACCAAAGTTCGACCCTCTATACCACATGCCATGCCAGCCCTGCCCTTAGGCCTGGCTGAGCAGGCCACTGAGACTGGGCATGGTGACACATGCCTGTAATTCCCAGCACTAGGGAGGCTGAAAGCAGGAGGATCACCAGTCCAAGCTGCATAGTGAGACCCTACAACATTCAAATACATTAATAAATAAATAAATACATAAATAAATAAATGTACCATAGTTCCTGATGGATGGCCTTCGAAATAAATTTTCTCATGTTGAAACCTGTGCATGTTTCAAAAACTTCAAGCTAACTGATTAGAGGAAATCATTCAGTCATTCATTCAGAAGTACATTTTTTTGGAACTGGGGATTGAACTCAGGCCCTTGCGCTTGCCAAGCAAGCACTTATTCTACTGAGCTATTTCCTGGCCCCTCAAAAGTACTTTTTGTGCGCTCTTTTCACACTGTACTTTACCATATGTCAAGTCCTGGGATTATAATAATGAGTAAAACAGACTGACTATTTCTTTGTCCTTGTAGAGTTTATGTTCAAGAAGAAGAAAGAAGAGGAGGAGGAAGAAGAGGGAGGAGGAAGAAGAGGGAGAGGGGGAGAGGGGAGAGGAGGAGGAGAGAGAGGGGGAGAGACAGAGAGAGAGAGAGAGAGAGACAGAGAGAGACAGAGAGAGACAGAGAGAGAGAGAGAGAGACAGACAGACAGACAGACAGACAGACAGACAGACAGACAGACAGAGGATGAAGGGCCCAATAATGACACCCCACCTGATAGTGTAGACCCTAAAGGGCTGGGGAATCTGGAGGCAAGAAGTTGGTGGGAAATGCTAACAGTTACTCCTTGGTCCTTTCCACTGAAGAGCTTTATCAAGATAGCTCTCTACCCCTTTGTCCTTTCAGCTGCCTAATCCCATTACAGCCCCGAAGATGTTAAATGACCATTTCAATTTCCAGGATACTAAATTCAATTTTCAATTCAACTTCAGATGCTGAGAATCTGGTATTTAAATGGAGGAAAGGTGTGATAATACCCAAAGTGATAACTGAGTTAACCGAAAACCAAACCCTTTAAAGTTTCACTTTAGAAATACCTCACCTTTAAAATCCCACTGAGTAAACTCCCTGGGGGAAGTTGTGTTACCACATATTTGCAGTGATGGGAAGACAGGCCCAGAAGCATTACTGTGAAGTAATTTTCATACAGAGGTGACTCAGGAGTTCTACTTCCTTGGGGTGCAGCTTCTGCACACAGCCACCCGGTTTCCACAGGGAGGTGGAGACATTGCTTCTGTGCAAGCGTAGCCTGGCTGCTGCATTGTTTTCAGCACAGAAAGTGCAGACTCTTGGTTTAGCTCAGCTCAACTCCCCAAACCACTGAATGCAAATGACAAGGTGCGTTGGAACTAGGATACCTATGTAGTACCGTACTGTATAAGGCAAAAGGACATGGTCAAACAAATCAGATCTTCAGGTCTGCTTGGTCATCTTGACTGTTCCTTGAAAACTCTGTCAGTGCCAGATCTCCTATTACGTTGAAGGAGTATCTGGAGCCAAGACAGCCTGGATTAATCTCTTCCTCACTCCAAAATACCCTCAAAGTAGTCCTCTAAATGCCCCCAACAGGCCGAGGGGAGGCCTCTGGGAACAGAAACTTAAGCTTGATGCTTTCTTCTTCTTTACCACCAGGATTGTATTCTTATTTTCCACACACTAAATCTAGCAATGCTGGCTGTTCATGTGCTCAAGGCTTGAAAATTTCTTGAAAATGCCTTCAAACAAAGTAAATACCTGATATTTGCTGATGAACTAAAGAAAAGTTGGGAAAATAAACAACCCATCTTAAGCATGCATTCATGAAAGTCATGAATGAAGAAACCTATGATAAAACATAAGAATATTTAGGCTTCTTTACAAGTGACATTTTTTTAACAATGGCAGCATTAATTGAACTAGCATCAGAGATCCAGTAACATACTATAAAAAGGATGTGTGTCTCCTGATCTCTATTTAGTTTTATTTTTGTGTTTGTAATTTATGATAAATACAAACTTTCTTACTTATATTACTGACCTTAAGACCAACAGTAGTAATTAGCTCAGGAACAAAAGATTAAGGGAAGAAAATTTAATTCTAGTAAATACTAAAAAGTAATCATAAAAATAAAAAAAAGCAGGGAGATAATCCCCAATGTGTGACAGAAAAACTAGGTTTCAACTCAATATCAGGGAGAAATTTCAAGTCTCTAGAAGGGGTTTCCAAGTGATAGGGACGTCATTGTGGAAGTATACAAACAGAAGATCCTTTAGGGGAATTCTGTGTTTTGTAGGAGTTTGGATTAGGTGTTTGTATCTGGGATGGCTTCAGCTCTCAATTCTGTGAAACTCAACAGTGAAAGCAGAGGTGGTCAGTGAAGGTGTTTTCCTTCCCCTAACCAGTACCCACCTACAACTTTAAACTCAAGTGACCTGATGGCATATCTGTGGGCCAGTATCCAGGAATTACCATTCACAGTTCCTCTTCAGCACACCAGAAACATTGGTATAGATTCCTGCGAAGATGAATGCTGCTTGTACCATCTCTGAGAAAGAGTGGTTTCTTCTACATTTAATGTGATCATTTTTGCCTTTATCAATTGACTTTAAATCTTTATGAATGTAAACCTTACAGAAGGCTTCATTTTTAATATATTTATTTGGGGTTTGATACAGATAAGCTCAAAAGAAGAAAAATGTGTCAGACCTAATAGAATAAAAAATAGCATTTGAATAAAAAAATTTCTAGAAGGGTAAATTGTGTCATGAGGGTGACTGTAGGAGGAACATTTTTGTAATTCATTTTATTCCTTTCCATAATCTCTGAATTATTTGTAAATACATTTACTATTTCTATAATAAAAAGTTGAAATCTAAAATTTATTTTTTTGGAAAGCTGAACATACTTACAGAACATGGCTCTGTGTTCTTTGGCTCTAGGTCTCCAGGGACTCTCAAATAGGAAGTGCACCAATGGATGGGTATGTGAATGAATGGGGGGATGGATGGATGGATGGTTGATTGAATTAATAATGAATAGGCTGCCACTGTTCTGTCAGAAAGTCTGCCTTTCCAAGAATGAAAAGCTCCCAACACTTGATCTGTGACAGATGAAGGTTAAGCTTCTTTAGCTACAATAGTTCTTACCATTGACTTTCAAGGTAATCCGCTTATAGTCAGCACCACCATAACCGATCACGCAGCAGTAAACCCCCGCATCCTGCAGTTTCACGTCTGTGATCAGAAGCGCAGCATTTCCCTTGAAGAGCTGGTCTTCGAGCAGCCAGGCCCTGTGCCTGAAGCTACTGTGCTGAGCCTTGGCGTCTTCTTTTCCATGCACAAATTGAATGATTTGCTTATCCTCCTTTTCCCAGTACACAACTAATGAAAGCAGGTCCAATTGTTTTTGTACTTGGAAGTGGCATTCGATGGTCACATTGCTGCCATACTCTACTACATACTGGTCCTTGGGAACTGTGATTGTAAATGCTGAAAAGGAAGATGTCTGGTTCTCAGAAGACAAAATTCCTCAAAGCATTTATTAAATGAGTATAGATTTATAATCACTTTAACTGAAGAACTATATGATAATTATATTTAAGAATTTATTTTCGTAAAATACATGTTTTATCCAGCATGTTTCAAACCTATTTTAGGATGGTTTAAGCTGGCCCTTGCATTAGAATAATAAAAGTAGCTAAGCAAATTGAGCTATAATTCATAAACATACATTTCTGTGAAAATACTATACAATGATGCAGCTTTTTATATATAAAGACAAAGGCTTAGTTTCATGTAGACATTCCAGGAATGTCAATTGACTGAATAAATATTTGCTTTAAACACAGACTGGATGGTGGGTTCTAACAGGCTTCTGTTCTTACTGTCCTAAAGTTTTTTTTTAATAGGGCTAAGGTTTAATTTGTATACATATTTCTTTTTTTTTTTTTTTTTGTCCTAAAGTTTTAGTTAGTTCTCTTGTCAGAGGTTCAAGGATCTGAAGGTGTATGGGGGGCCTCAGGATGTCACCAATACTGTTATCTTGCCAACTTCTATGCATACTGAAATTCTTAGAATATCTTCGTCAGGAAAAGCAGGTCAAGGAGCAATATAGATAGAATGATGCAGGCCTTGCTTCAACAAAAGTATATCTATGGGTCATTTTGCCAGAAATTTTCATAGTTTTCCCTGGGAAGTAGGCAATGAGCTAATTCTATATTTTCTACATTCTCTGTCTGTTTATAGAACAACCCAAGTGATTCCCAAGAATGAAAGGATATATGAAATAAAGAAGAAAAACAAAACAAAAAAAGGAAAACTAGAATGTTCTGTATGATCCATATCCACTTAAAGTTATTATTTTAGTTTTTAAACTTATGTTTAACATATTCACAATATAGAATTGAATCAAAGGATTTGGTGTCTTACCATGCAGCAAATGAGAGTAGGCTGTGAGTACAAAGATGACAAATATCCTCATCTTTCTGGAGAGACCTAATTATAGAAAACACAAAAAGAAGTTTGCTTTATTTAGTAATTGAACACTCTGTATGATAGTATGAGACTTGATAGTCCTAATTGCAATAGTCTTGATAACTAGCTAATGACTGATTTGTAAATGCAGAAACAACGGGGAATATTTAGCAGACCTCAATTAGTGACATAATGGAAGAACCCCAGAAATGGAATCCAAATGTCTCAACTGAGGTAGAATGATATTAATTTATTATGACTTTTCTCTAAACAGAACTGCTGCTCAAGGATAAAGCATATTTTCATGACTCTTGACACATGCTGAAAATTGATACCATTACATAGTTTCTCCACCCAGGTCTGGTTGCATTTACATTTTTTTTTTAATTTTAGTATTAAAAAGTACAACTTATCTGAGGAGATAGCTCAGCAGCATAAGCACTGGCCTGGCAAGCACAAGATCCTGAGTTCAATCCCCAGTACAAAAAAAAAAAAAAAAAAAAAAAAAAAGATACAACTTGACTTTTTCACGTATTTGTGTATTATTTAATTCTTTGGGAATTATCTGATCACTTTTTTTTGGTCTATTTATATTACTATTTTCTTGTCAATCTGTATGAACTCTTTGTGTTTAAAAAAAAGCATATAAAGTAGGTAAAATAGGGCTGGTGAGATAGCTCAGCAGACTAAGCACCGGCTTAGGCAAGTGCAGGGATTAGGGCTTTACCCCAACACCACATGCTGCAGCAGCCCTGCCCCCAGGCACGCTGATCTGGCCACAAGTCCAGGCATGGTGGTGCACGCCTGTAATCCCAGCTCTGAAAAGGCTGAAAACAGGAGGCTCAACTAGCTGTTCGAGCTGCACAGTGTGAAACTCCTGTAGCAAACACATTAAACCACCACAAAAAAAGTAAAATAAAATGAATAACCCTCTTACTGGTGTTAGGTAGATAACTCTTATTTCCTCCCTCTCTATCTAACTTGTAGGTAGGGAGTAAGGAGGCCATTCAGGACACAAAGGTGCTGAAAGAGGCTATGGCATCTGATTGTCCTTTCTTTGGGTCAGAGTTGATTATACTACAGTGATAAAATATTAATGTGACACTATAAACACAAACACACCTATCAGGCAGGAGAAAACTTAAGATATCCCTAGCCCCAAGTAAAGCACTGTTGAACAAAACAGGAAAATTAAATCCACCGATGGATTATATCTAATTTTGCCAACGTGTATGGCATACTTTGGTGGAGTTCCTATGGTTTAATGAATCTGGTTGAAAATATTAGTGTGACAAAGTTTTACCCTCCAAGGCACCATTCCTTTGGCGAGCAACCACCAGTAGTAGGAGCAAAAACTAAAAAAGAAAAATAGTCCATGTACATAAGCATGGTCTTTGACTTCTAAATCCCACATAAAGCCAATTGGTCCAGGAGAGAAACACTGCCATCTCCTTCAGGTAAGAAATGGTGACCTTGTGTAAATTCCCAGACAAAGACAAGAATGGAGACTTCTGCCAAGCAATAAAATGTGAACTGGAGAAGACAGGATGGCTTCCTCTGGGGGAAGTGGATTTGTCTCTAGGGGAAGCCCAGTATATCACTATGGAACTGACACTACTTGGTCTTCCCAGGGTAGGATAGTTAGGAGGAAGAGGTAAAAACACAAACTTCCTTTCTCAAGAGCAAGAGACTTAATTTATTAAGCTCTTACTACCTTTTCAAGCTCTATTATTCTTCACCAAGCTCTGTGCCTAAACTCTTTCCTTTCAGTTCACACTGATACATTGGTACATTTACCACACATGGCTTCAATTCCTGTGTCTTCCTTGAAGATCACACTAACTACCATCATAGAGATTTGGTTCACCCTCCTCCATGGAAAAAGGCTAATTTTTCTTCAGTACTTTGGCAATTCTCATCAAGTGATATATCATTTCTGGTATTTTTCAGTATTTCTCAAAAGGTCGTTTAGACCTTCAGACATTTTGACTAAGTAGTTACAATTATGAGTTTTTCTGAAGGAAATAATCAGCAATGTCCTGGAGATTTATATGAAGTGATGTTTGGTGAATGGCTATAATAGTAAACCACTATAAATAAACTTTATGTTTAGCAACAGCAGATTAATTTCATTTGGTTATTAATGTTTTTAAACTTATAAGAACAAATACTACACTTGATCTTAGCCAAAAGGCTGAGAAGCAATGGATGCTAAAATTTTTAGAAGGATTATTTAACAGAAAAGCATCCACAGTATATTTTTTTCAGATTAAACAATAAGAAGGTAAACCTATGGTACTTTTACTCCTTGGGTTATAAGACAACCCCAAAGTGAACCTTAAAATAGGCCAAAGTCAATGTGTCTAAGAAAGTTTTAACATTCTTATTTTTATGCTCCTCGTCTCTGGAACTCGTACAGTTCCTAGGAGAAGCTGCTAGAGCAAAAATCTTAGGCTTCAAGATTCTGGAATTTAGGTAAGGTGGGGGGGAGTGGTTAGAGATGCTGCAGGTGGAATGACTTACTCAAAATTACATTGCTAATGAGCAGCTAAGAATGCAGAAAGACCCAGGTGCCTAATGCCCAGTCTAGGAATGTCAATCCCAACCCGGTTACCTACCTCTGGACCATATTCACAAGCATGCAGTTACATAGAAGACTGATATTAAAGTTAAACGAAGTCGCGCTGCTCATCAGGCCAGGTACCAGGTACTGCGAATTCTTAGGTCTTAACCCTACCCACTCGCCCCGAGCGCCCGAACCACCTCGCTTCCCCTTTCCCTCCTCCCCTCTCCATCCCAGAGACCTTCCACCCCTACAGTGCCTAGAGCCGCCCAAAGACCGGACACAGAGCGCCGGGCAGGAGAAGCACGCTCCCTACCTGCGGGCGCGGATACTCCAGCTCAGAGACGCTGATGCTGCGCTGGGGAGTGCGAGTCCAGCGCGGCGACTCAGCTAGCTAATTACTGACCAGCGAAGGGGACCCGCCCACCTCTCTCCAAAGCGCCGCCTTTAGAAAATCCAGCTGGGACTGGGCTTTTTCCTCAAGCTCTAGCTTTTAGTTTTACAAATTAGAGGATTTCTCACTCTCTTGACTAATTGATGTGTAAAAACGAAACCAAAAGTTAAAAGCACCAGCCGGTTTTCCCGTAAGTCAGTCCTTGGTCAAGAACACTTCGGGAAGGATTGCGTGCAGTGCTACAATCCCAGCTGTGCTGTTTGGGAAGCTGAGACTGAAGTAGCTAAGCTATTTGGGAGGTTCAAAGCCAACCTGGACAATTGCACAAGAACCAGCTTTAAAAAATAAAAAACAGCACTTGAGAGGCTGTAAACAGGAGGATCACTAAAAACCTGAACTACGTAGTGAGAGCCTGTACTAAATACAATAAATAAATAAATATTTTTTTTAAAAAAAGTAAAAAAAAAAAAAAAGAGGAGGATGTAGCTCCCTGAGTTTGATCCTCAGGAACACTCAAACACACTCCAAAGATTAAAACAAATTCATATCTGGTGTGTTTTAAACAGAGGTCTAGCCCAAATGGAACATCTGAAATCACAAAGATTTCAGATTTGGGTTTTACCTTCCCAGTCCAGATGCCTTCAGAAATTCTGCCCTCAGGTTTCCCCCCTTTCTGATGACAGGCTTTTCAAGATTACAGAACATTCTGATATAAAGATACAACTCGATACAATAGAAAGTAAGCAAGAGACCCTGATGGCTTTGGTTTTTATTCTAGAAAGTAGGTATTTGTGTATAATGAAAAATCTGTTTTTAAATTGTGGATTTTGTAACTTCCTCAAAGTTCCTCGACATAATGAAACTTCAGTGGTGTTGTCACTGAGAGAACTTCCCATCAAGAGCTTTACCTTTTAAGAATGCTGGGGATCCCTGCTGTACTTCCATCCCTGGGACTTGGGGTGGGAGGATAGATTCTAGGTAATGTTAAGGAACTCCTTCTGGAAACTGGATCAGTGGGTGGGCTTGTGCTAAAGCCGCACCACTCACACAGAAAGTGGCGGCACAGTTTACTTGAGCATTTCCATGGCTGGACTTTACGGACCTTCCTTTCTTCTGCCCTGTGATGGACTCTTCACTGTTTGCCTTGGGTAGTCATTCAGCTGCATAAATGAGAGGTAAATCATTACATTGAACTAAGTAAGGATTAAGTCACATCCTGTAAGATACTGTCTATGATTATGACCTATGTATCATTCTTAAAATTGGCTTGGTTGTGGCACTTGCTTCCTTAGTAGGAATTGTCATATTCACAGGGTATCGTAGATTTTATTTTTAACTTGGAAACCATTGAAATGATACTGCCTCAAAGATCTAGTAGCAAATATGGAATTCTCTACTGTAAAACTGTAACTCGTTTTGGAGGTCCAGCCAAGAAACTCCCTCCTTCAAATCTCTTTTGATAAGCCATAATGAAATAGAACAATTTTCCCAATTTTTGTGGCCAACCTATAGTAAAATATAGTTTTTATGTGACATTCAGTTTATGTGCATATGTGTGTTTGTGTATGCGCTCATACGCACACCAACTATGTGCAATATCTGCTTACATTTTGTAGTTAACTTTTTTTTCTAACAGTAGACAGCTTTCGTGGTATGATGTTCTGAACAACTGGCCCCAGAGTCATCTACCACTAGCCAGCTGACTTATCTTGGTCAAATATTGTACTAAGTAAGGATTAAGTCACATCCTGTAAGATAGTATCTATGATTATGACCTATGTATCATTCTTAAAACTGGAAGGGGATGTTTTGGTTTTTGTTTTTTAAAAGTGTTGCTCTGGGCCTATCTAGATTGTCACATGGGAGTCTGGAAATACATAAAATTTGCCTTTCTCTGAAGCAGATGGGAATTGGGGAATTTGTACAATTTGCTGCTCTGTGATTTACATAGCAGTAATTTGAGGCCTTGTGTTCTCGCTCATCTCTCTCTCACCTGTTTCTACTCTTCAGCCATTCATCTCCCCATGAAATTCATCAAGCTCCCTCATATGACTTAGCTATCCTCCAGGGGGAATAATGAAGGTTATATTTTATCATATCAAAATAGCTGGTGGCAGGTGTTAGGCCCCCAGAATTGTGTGAGTTTTGTAATTGGAACAAAGTGCACAAAGCAGGGCTAAGATAGATGAGCATAGCCAGCCACAGCTAAAGACAGCCTGATAATCTTTAATATTACTACTTCCCACTGAAACCTCTGCTTACCCTATTCACTTTTAGAGGAAAAACTCATTAATGTCCGTGTACTCTTTTTGAACACCTCTCTGAGGATTGCATCACTGTTAATTTGGAATAAGTGTTTAACATAGATCTCAAAGCTCTGCCACAAATCTGCAGGATCCAAACCTCTGGAAGATAGTCTTGGGTGTTGACAGTTTAATAGTATCCCCAGATGAGTTATGTATACCCTGAAGTTTTGAAAAATGATGATTAAATGTTTAAGGAAAAAAACTGATCCAAGCGTTCTTTGCACATACAGCTATACTCCCCTTCCTCTATTTAACTTGGCTGATTTATAAGAAGCCCACACTTCTTCACTCAGCCTGTCCAATCCATTTTCTACTTTTATCCCTAAAGCAGAGAGAGAGAGAGAGAGAGAGAGAGAGAGAGAGAGAGAGAGAGAGAGAACCCACATTTGTACTGAACTCAGAAGGAGGGTAGATTATAGGGTTTTCCAACTGACCCTGAAATGATGTAAGCAATGTTCTAGTGAAGGAGAAAATTTTAGGAAGCTTTTCTTGATTTTCCAAAAACAATACATAAACACTCAGAATAACAAAAATTGAAAACCATCTTTATACTGAATGTCTAAAAATTCATTTTATTGTATGAAAACACAATTTTGTCTTAATGTCTTATTTTGGATTGTGCAGGAATATAAACCGCAGCCCTAGGTAATGCCCATTTCTCTTTTGCTGCACTCATAAACCTCCCTGGCTTTTGTGGTCCCATCCTTACATTCTATAGGCACACATTCTATAGACTGGTCTCTAACAGATTTCATGGAATGGAACACTTTTCTGAGCCTACATCAAACAGTGGCTTAAGCGACAGGAGTAGGTCACATGGGTGAGGCCCACCAGACGTCTTCACTTGCCCTCACCCTCACATAATTGCCCCTTTCACACTGTATTTGTCTCCTTCCTATTCTAAGTGGAAGACCTCACGCCTCCAAAAGCTATCTCCCACACCCCAGACATTTAAACACAAAGATGATGGCTCTGACAGTGTTTCCTGTCTCTTACGAGTTCACAAACACTTACATCAATAATTATGACTGAGAAAATGTGGTGGGAGTCTGGAAACACTCTAGATAAATATTTTAATTCTAAGTAATCTCAAATCAAGTGAAAAATCACTAAATCATAGAGTTTAGAATAGTGATATATTCCTCAAGTAGATATTGAGAAATATTTTATTGAGTTAATGTCCCCAACTAAATAGCCTAAGCAAGTATCAAACAAACAACACAGCCATCTTGTGGCCATTCACTTGGCAGAAGGAAATGCCCTGGCTCAAATGTCTCTTGTAGAATTGTATCTAGAAGAGTTATTCTGTACTCATTTGGTTTTCAACCAAGAGCAGTACGACTTGACATCTAAAAGCCCACAAAATTTCTTCCTTGAAAGGAAAACTGTTTTTGTTATTGCTTTAGAATAAATGCTTATACAGAGACCAAGTACAGTCAAATCCAGGCAAATCACATTGAGAACCTAATTAGACTGCTATAGAGAGGCTCATCATAAAAGAATGAACAATAGTTCTTATTTTTTTCTTTTCCTGATCCTCTGTGAAAGGGCAGCAAGACTGCTCTGTTCTGAGAGGCACATTCCAAATGTACATTTGGCTACATAAAAATTTTGGGTACTGAAAATCCTATTAGAAAAGAAAAAGAAAAAAGGCAAGGTGATATGGCAGAGTGTGCAGAGGAGGGGTTCATCTAGCAGTTGGGGAACATATGAAAGGTGATGAGAGAGGCTGGCCAAATAGCTCAGCAGATTAAAGCGCCTGCAAGCAGGTGCAGGGGCTGGAGGGTTTGAACCCCAGGCCTGCAGCGCTGGCACCACACTCAGGGTGCACTGAGCTGGCAATTGAGATGGGGTGCGGTGGTGCACGCCTGTAATCCCAGCTCTTGGGAGGCTGTAAACTGGTGGATCACTACAAGTCTGATAGTAGTGAAACCTTGAACACCCTGTAGACCCTTTCCTAAAAAAAAAAAAAAAAAGGTGATAAAAGAAATGAGTTATGAAGATAACTATATAAAGATCTGTAGGAAGAGTATATTTGACAGTGGGAACAACAGGCAGGTGCTTATTCTACTGAGCTATCTCCCTGCCTGAGGACTGAGAGATAGTAGAGGAATTACCCGATGAGTGTTGAAAAATATCACTCCAATTACACTAAAGCTGGGAGACCTCTAGGAGCTGTTGCTGAAGACAACAATTACAATATAATTTGGAAGAAGAATCAGTAGAATCTGTTGATATACATTAGAGGTGATGGGAACAAGGCAAAGATTGCATATATTTTAATATTGCTTTCCCAGATTAGAATATTATAATGAGGTGACCTATACTATAGCCTTTCATACTATTGTCATTCTCTAAATTAAGGAAGTCTAAAAACAAAAGTAAAACTCTCTTGCTAAATTGACAAGTGGGAAATGGTTTTAATCAACTAAGGGACTTATCACTTCTGAAGAAGAAATTACAATGCTTTCTGGAAATATACAGGAAGTGGGTGGCACTGTGGTGGGTGTGGGTCAAGGCCTGACCTTTGTCCCTGTAGGTTGTTATCAAAGAGCCTTGAAAATTACTAGTGCAGGTCACTCTCCATGGAAAGCTGACCAGGAATGAGAGCAAGGAGCTCTAGTGTTTAGAGAATTTCTTTGGCAAGGTACACAAAGGAAGAGCCTCAGAGACTGAATAATGCTGTCAGTCAGGACATTGGAATTAAGGAAATGAATGCAAAGTCTGGGAAGAAGATGTTTTACTTCCTT